CTCTCGTGCCCAAACTCGCCGTCGCTCGGGCGTCGACGTCCCCCGTGCAGTTTGCCAGCCTCGTGCGTGTTTCGGTTGCTCGAGGGTCCAGGATGCTCCTCGAAGGTCCTCGCCGAGAAAAAATGCACACGTCCGAGCGATGCCAGGCAGAGATCTGGTGGCTCGAAGACATCAGATGGGTACCTCGGGCTCGTGTCGTGTCGAACCCGGCTCTGGTTCCTGACACCGCGGGGATCGTTCTACCTTGAACGATTGGCCGTTTCCGAAACGTCAGATCGTTCAACATCGACCGATTCTGGGTCGCCCGCGGCGTTCAGCGTTGAACGCCGGCGGCGCGGTTGATGCCGGTCGACACGCCGCGAACCGACCGTACGTAGTTGCGCTTCGGTTGTACAGGTTGGCCTTCTGGAAGCCGATTTCGGGCTCTGGGGCCGTCAACTTATCTTGACGAAGAACCCAACTCATACTGGGTGCTTACGAATCGTGAAAAGAGTGTGCCGGCATGGGGCGGCGGGGCCGCCATGCGAACGCAGCCACTTGGGCCTTCGGTGGAGCTCCCTATGGGGCCGTGAAACGTGTGAGGGTTGTGCTGAAATGAGGCGGGCCATGCGAACTTGGCCAATGAGGGCGTAGGTGGAGCTCCCTACGGGGGCTATGTGGGCACGAAGCGTGTGAGGGGTGTCCCGAAATGAGGCGGGCCCCCATGCAAACGCAGCCACCGTGGACGTTGCTTGGGCCACGAAACGTGTGAGCGGGATGGCGAAACGGTGACGAGGATGATGCAGGTGGCAACGATGATCTACCGACCCCCAGCACGAGGGGGGTGCCAAGGCATGCGAGATACTTGGCTGTCCCCCTCCCCCTCCTCCTCCTCCTCCTCCTCCTCCTCCTCCTCCTCCTCCTCCTCCTCCTCCTCCTTCCCCTCCTCCTCCCCCTCCCCCCTTTCCTCCTGCTCCTCCTCTTCCTGCTCCTCCTCCTCCTCCTTCCTAATCCCTAATCCTCCTACCCTCCCTTCCCTCTCACCTTCCTCCTTCCTCCTCCCTCTTCCTCCTCACCTTTCTCCTCCTCCTCCTCCTCCTCTCCTCCTCCTCCGCCTCTCCGCCTCCTGCTCTCCTGCTCCTCCTCCCTCCTCCCTTGCTCCTGCTCCTGTCCTCCTCCTCCTCCCTCCCTCCTCCTCCTCCTCCTCTACCTGCTCCTGCTCTGGCTCCTGGCTCCTGCCTCCTGCTCCTGCTCCTGCTCCTCCTCCTGCACTCCCCCTCCCCCTCCCCTCTCTTCCCCTCCTCCCTCCTCCTCCGCCTCCTCGCTCTCTCCTCCTCCTCCTTCCTCCTCCTGCTCCTGCTCCTCCTCCTCCTCCTCCCCTCATCCTCCTCCTCCCCGCCTCCGCCCCGCCAACTCCTGCTCTCCTCCTCCTCCTCTCCTCCTCCTCCTCTCCGCTCTCGCCTCCGCTCCGCCTCCGCTCCCGCCTCCGCCTTCGCCCCGCCCCGCCTCCGCCTCCGCCGCCGCCTCCGCCTCCGCCTCCGCCTCGCCTACGCCTCCGCCTCCTCTCCTCCTCCTCCTCCTCTCCCCTCCTCCTCCTCCTCCTCCTCATCATCATCATTCATTCATCATCATCATTCATCATATCATCATCATCATCATCATCATCATCATCATCATCATTCATCAATCATCATCGTCCTCGCCCTCCTTCTTCTGCTTCTCCGCCTCCCCCTCTCCCCCTCTCCCTCCCCCTTTCCCCCTGCCACCCCCCCTCACCCCAGGGCTGAGGGGGGGAAGCTGGCTCGGCAGCGAGCCGCATCTTGCTAAACCAACAGGTACCGAGATACCGCTGCTCCCCTGACCTCTCCCGAGGCGCGTTCTGACCAGGATCTTGGAGCGAATAATCCAGCGGTGACGACGAGGCCCTCCCAGGAGGCCCCCCCAAAGGGGCCACCGAGGCACAGGTGGGGAGTCATGGGTACCCCCTCCTCCTCGCGCGTCCTGTCCTGCGCGGCCTGCCCGCGCCGCCCAATTTAGCCCACAGAGGCGCCCTTCGGGCGCGGCAAGCGCGACGGACCGCCGCCCCGCGGGTCCCCCCCGCGCCGCGCCCGAAGGAGAAGGAGGAGGAGGAGGAGGAGGAGGAGGAGGAGGAGGAGGAACAGGAGGAAGAGGAGGAGGAGGAGGAGGAGGAGGGGAGGAGGAGAGGAGAAGGAGGAGGAGGAGGAGGAGGAGGAGGAGGAGGAGGAAGAGGAGCAGGAGCAGGAGCCGGAGCAGGAGCAGGAGGAGGAGGAGGAGGAGGAGGAGGAGGAAGAGGAGGAGGAGGAGGAGGAGGAGGAGGAGGCGGAGGAGGAGGAGTAGGAGGAGGAGGAGGAACAGGAGGAGGAGGAGCAGGAGCAGGAGCAGGAGCAGGAGGAGGAGGGAGGAGGAGGAAGAGGAGGAGGAGGAGGAGGAGGACGAAAGAAGCCTTTCCAGAGCTCATCATACAGTTATGTGGAGGACTCGCTGACCTAGGATGCCGTCTCTCTGGTAAATCTGTGGTCCTGGCCAGCTCCAACGACATCCGCACCACGGTCGTCGACAAACTCAACCAAGCAGGGGTCCAGATCAGACCCGTCCAGCACGCTCGGGACCTGGGGGTCGACACTACGATCGGGAAGAAAAGGGTCCTGGGAGTCCGCCGAACCCGTCGTCGTCTCGGAGTGCAGAGACACAAGAACATCAAGAAACTGGCCAAGACTACAATCAAGGCGCGATCACTTTTCCGCACAGGCGCTCTACCGCAGCTGAAGTGGGGCATGGAGGGACACGGATCAGCACCGACTGAAGTCCAGTATTTCCGCCGACTGGCGGGAGCGGCACATGGAGCTTCCAAAGCAGGGGCCTTCCTTACCACCGGCCTCCATACCCGTCCAGGACACCCATCAAACATGGATCCAGGGATCTACCTTCGGGTCCAGTTGTTCACGATGTGGTTTCGGGTTATCAATACCGAACTCAGCATCCTCGGAGGCATCCAGAAGGCTTGGGAGACTCTGAGGGAGAAGCTCAAGAGACCCTCAAGGTGGCTCATGGTCAGGTCCCACATGTCCGCGATCATTGCCACCCTGTACGACCTAGGCTGGACCCCTACCTCGGCATGGCTCTGGAGGGACCCCGAGGGCCTCGATTTCCCCGTCAAGCCGCTGAGCTGGGACCGCCAGAAGGTTTTCATGTTTCACTTGGAGTTCCTCTTGAACATGCATGTGTGGAAAGCTACCTACCCTCTCAGCCATAACTCTGGAGGCCTCCAGGAGGGGGGGGACGTGTACTCCCTGCGGCTCTACCCTGCCAGAAAGCGGGCCGCCATCAAGAAACGGGAGAAGCAGCTTATCGAGCACCCCCTCCCCCGAGCCCAACAAGTCCAGGCCCAGGAGGAACTCCAGCGAGAAGCAACTTTCCCAGCAGCTTTAGAGGCCGTTTCATGCTCGAGGTGCTGGAGCGCCCACCGCAGGTTTGAGAGCGGCCAGCAGGATGACGCAGACTGTCCTCTCTGTGGGCAAGAACACGGAGATGATTTACACAAATTTTGGACGTGTCCTGAATTGGGAAGCCTCAACATCCCCGCCATCAATCGGACCCAGGGCTCCATAGATCGGGCAGTGGCAGAGTCCCCAACGGAACCCAGTCTCTGGCTCCGGGGAATCATCCCCGCCACGATCATTCGCCAAGTCCATGGACACATTCTGGGGCTAGATCAGGACACAGTCCGAAAAGGAGTATTTGAGCAGCATGCAGTCTATCAGTTCGATGGCTGGCAAGTGGCAGCCACAGACGGCAGTGGAGGGCCTCATACGCAGGACCCGCGCATCAGAGTCTGTGGCTGGAGCGTATCCCTGTGGGCACACGACCTCACCTGGAAAGGAACCATCCAGGGAGGCATCATCGGCCCGCAGACGGTACCGCTGGCAGAACTCGAGGCAGTCATTGCGCTGCTGGAGTCCACCCGCGGCCGCCTCATTATCGTGATTGACTGTGCCTATGTGATCAAGGGCTTCAACAGAGGCCCCCGCTTTCGGCACCCCAAGAACCAGTACACGTGGCAGAAGTTCTGGACCCAGGCCAAAAACCGACGGGACAACACGATCTTCTACAAAGTAAAAAAGCCACCCCACGGAGGAAGAAACCGCTCGAGAGCCTCCATGGGCCCTACACCTCAATGGCCATGCCGACATTCTCGCTGCGGAAGCAGCACAGTGGCGTCAAGTCCCAGGGCCCCTCGTTCGACACCTCCAAGGCACCGACATTCACGCCGATCTCATCAGGGACAGATTGGCAGCAGTTCAGACTCACTACTGGAGTCACAAAGACTCACTGGGCCTCGAGGAGGATGAGGATGTCAAGGAGAACCGTAGGAAAGTGAAGGTGGAGCGCAGTGTAGCAGCCTTGCAGGTCGAGCTGTCTAGGACGCCCCACTCCCTCTCCGCTGCCCCTGTCCCTCCTCATTTCCAGATTGCTTGTCTCGCGTGCGGCAAGCAAGGTAGTGTCATCAAGGGAACACCCAGGTGGCTCAAGGCCCCCTGCGTCCCCCCAGGGCCGCAAAATCGGTTTCATCCTTCCCACGGGCCGTTCATCAAGAAGTTGAATGGTGTCCTTTGGTGCTCCCGATGTGGAGCCTGGACCATCCGTGCAGCCAAGAAATTCAGGGAGCAGTGTGCACCATCAACAGAGGGTGGCATCAAGGCGCTCCAGAAGCTTACCCAAGGTAAGCCACCGCCAGGCCTCAAAGCCTGGCCAGATGGACCCACATGAGGTCCACTCAGGCTGCTCCCACGCGGGGAGACCAGGACAGCTGCGGAGGCGCGAGCGCGGAGGAGGAGGAGGAGGACGACGAGATGGAGGATGAGGAGAAGGAGGAGGAGGAGTAGCAGGAGGCGGAGGAGGAGGCGGAGGAGGAGGAGGAGGAGGAGGAGGCGGAGAGGAGGAGGAGGAGGAGGAGGAGGAGGAGGAGGAGGAGGAGGAGGAGGAGGAGCAGGAGCAGGAGG